TCCACTATTTTCTTGACTTGTTACAATTCATGCCATAGCATGATTTCTTTCTCGATAGTAATCGACACCTGCAACGCGTGTCAACGGGCTTCTTCACGGACACCAGCCGCTGTCCATCTCGCTCGAGCTGCACGTATACTGCCAAAGCATGCTCTTGAAACTGTGCAAGGTAACTTGGCTACTCAAAGACAAGAGAAGATATACCACTGGCTAAAGAGTCACAGTCGAAAACTCTTTTAGAAAGACAAAGTACAGGAATCTAGACGCCAGCCTTTCTTCTGATCGGTTGTAGACGCTGAAGTGCAGGCCTCAGCTAGGCAAACTGAGCAGTATCAAGTCATATTGTGCGAAAGAGACCAGTGATTATGCGTTGTGGTATGGGTGTTGTAGGTAGGAAGGTGTCATAGCACAAGACCTCTTAACCGTATGCTCATCAGCACCCGTCGTGTTTTGAATTCAGATAAATAACCGCCGGTATCATCCATATGTGTCGGCTTCGTTGGTCCATACCTGGTTTATTACGAGTGCGGAGTCCTGGCACGTTTGAAGTAAGCATATGACATCGCTTCAGCTACCTCACTAGAAAGATACTATAAAGACGTCAGTAGTTGTCCAGCCAAAGGAAATGCTGAGTATCCTGCCTGATTGCGGCTTCTCTCCGAAGAGACCGAGTCCATATGTCGCATACCACGTCTCTTAATAGTGAGAAGTTCCCCTTTCCATGGTCGTCTTGACGCTACGGTTCTGGCCATCCGCGGTTTCGCCTTTGTCACGCTGACATCTAATGTAAGCTACGGTTCCAACTATGGCTCCTCTTACACGTGGTTTCCTTTGTATGTTGGCTCTGCAATGAAGGTTATGCTCTTCAGCATTCTGACCACTCGAAGGAGATGCAACAGCTTTGGTGGCCCTCGTGGTGGTATCGGATATTGAATTCGGTCTACAAAAAAAAAGAAAAAAAAGAAAACGGTTACTCATACGTATAATTCCAAAATTAGAGAGAAATCAGTGGACGGTGGCGTGACCGCCGTGACTCAAGGCCAGAGGACGACGTTGTGTTTTCCAGAAGCCCATCACTCCATCCAAATTCTCTGAGTGTGGTTCTTGAACTGGACCTCATCGAGAGACTTTCGATGCGGTCTTCATGTTTTCTCAAATAGGATTCTTCTCTGGTAAGTGCCCGTGGTTTAATACGATGCGTCGAGTATCATCTCATCGCGGCACCTCTGTCTTCAACCCCACCAGAGCACGCAGCCAGCCTTATTTAATCGCGGGCGGCACCTTGAAAAAACCTTGAATCGACCAGAACAATCCACTGTCCCTGCTCCCCGTTCAGCACTCTTCAGGTTATTGCTTGCGGCAGATATCCAGACTTCATCGCCCATGCTTGATGGCTTGGTCTCGCCGATCGACCTTTGTAACGATTGTGCTCGTTGTGTATTCATCATGACCAATACACGGGCAAGAGAGACGAAGCAGCTATTTTTCGAATTTCACTCGTGGCAGTTGAAATGTCTTTCCAACATGATGAAGTCAACAAGTTGCAGACAGCCAAGTCACTCGACCCGCCCTACGTTCATTCTTGTTGCTGTCTACTCCCACATTATGTACGCTTGAGTTTGACTTATATACACCTTCTGGTAGATTGTCTCTTCAAACAAAATATTCTCACACTTTTCTCAAGACTAAGAGTTGCATATAAAGGATGGCTGTTGGGGTTCATCGTCGTAAGCCACACCAACCCAATACTTTTAGCCTTCGCATGGGTTTCGAAGTCAAGGCAAGTGCCATCCGTTGGCGGTTTGGGGCATTAGACTGTGATTTATGTGCATCATACGAGCTCATCTATAGAGAGCCATTTTCGTCCTTGTCCGGTGCTATGATGGCATCAATAGCCGGCGGGAAGAGACCCCAAAGACGTCTGGTGTCCATCGCGTTTTACCGTACTGATACATTGTACTTCGCACTCACTTGTTGATTAACCCTCGGTTTTATGTCAAACGCTGGACAAGGCCCTATTCTAAAAAGCTTTCCGCACGATTGCTTGGCAAAAGTCGATCTCTCGTAATTCGGTCCATAGTATATGCTGTTTTAATAACGACTCGACCACCGGATTCTAAGGTATCCTCAGCAAGCTTAAAAGCCCAATGACGTTGCGCTTCTCAAAAGCCTATGATACAAACCAAATATAGCTGGATGTTGTCGCAGTTTCAATAAGTCCAGTTTCAGGGCCATCGCAACCAGCCAGCTCGGCTCGACGTCGACGGCTACTTCATTCTCAAGCTTTCCCTCTCGCTGCTATCGGTTGCATTGTGGACATGATACTCACCAAACAGAGACGCCAGAGAGAGAGAGAGAGAGAGAGAGAGAGAGAGAGAGAGAGAGAGAGAGAGAGAGAGAGAGAGAGAGAGAGAGAGAGAGATACAGAAATTCCGAGGCGAGCCAGCTCGCCACTTCTTCAGCTCACAATGGTATCACGACGGTTGGGTTTCCTACGATTGGAGAGCCTCAAGACATGAACCAATCTTTTCGACGAACTTCAGATGTTTCGACGAGGAGAATTGAAATCGCGACACTTTTCTTCTTGTCTCTCATTCTCATACCATGAACTACAGACAGACAGAGTAAGCTTCTCAGTCGCCTCGTATCGATGTCTCTCGAACATGTCAGGACTTGGGTCTCAACGTAATATATGACCTGCCCGAAAAGCATCTTCATTAATTTCTCTCCACCGAAGATGAATACGTCCCACATCGTCAGTTATCCCAGAGCAACACACAATGACTCCGTTATGTTATTCAACTTAAGACACAGGGACAGGAAGCATGTTAGACCCAGCAGGATCGCATCTCGAATCAACGTCTCATACCCCCTAAACGAGGAAGAACACCAGGCCATGACGAACGAGAAAGCTAACACAAGAAAGCTTCAAAACATTTTGACCTTGTCGTCTCATGCTAGGTTCATAGCCGGGTACCTTTGACCAGCTACTAAGCTTACGACCATTGATGAACCGGTATAGTTCAGACAACATTGGTCTGGCACCAAACTAAAGCACGCCCTCGGCCAGCCTTTTATATTTCTCGACACGCTTCACTCCGCACACTCGCTGCTGATTCTGTGACAGAATTCATACCTGAGGGCACGGCGTGAACGATGATCACAACCCGTCGATGGTTCATACCCGCGCCTGTGGGCACCTTTCCAACACAAGCTGCTGTAAAACGAGTCCATGCAGTGAAACAACTGCTGTACATAAGCGCCGTCTTCTATCATTCACACAGAGCACAGCAAAGCAATTGAACCAGGACATCGGTTACTTTGGCAGCCAACAATCATTGGAAGAAGCACGTCTCAAGTTTGCTCGGCTGCCATGGTGAATATTATGGCCGCAACTTCATCAGACTGCTCTTGTTAGTTGATTCACTTGGGATACCCAAAGGCCAACAGCAGCTTCACTAATATTCGAGACTCGCAGACACCCTGCCCTCCGCTCTATCAGACCAAAGTTCCCCAGAGGCATCATCACGTACCACAGAGGTTGAGCAGTGCGGTCGTCTGCATTCACTGCGGCCTCAGTTCCAATTCGCGCGGCTCCCACGCATCAGCACACCTTTATAGAACTCGATATCCGCATCAATCCATCTCGTCGATGTTCCTTCTCTTTGCATTAGAGCCCCTCACCTCAGTCTCCGATCCAACGACCAACGACCAAGGACATCTCCATCCCTAACCTGCCCGTCCACCCAGCGTCCCAACCTCCCAATTGGCATCTTGGCTTTCATGCAGTGTAGCAGGAACCCTAATGCAGAAGGTGTGCATGTCAGACAACACGATTCTGCATCGAGACGCGCCGTGTTGTGGGGGAGGCGAACGGCCCATGTGGGATAAAGAAACGTCGAAAGGCTGTCAGATCAGCATCGAGGAACAAAAAGTAGGGCGCATCATGGGGATATGCCGGAATCTGGCCAGGCCCAATTCCCTTCGGCGATCGATACGCTAGTTACCCCATGCGTCCATCTCCTCCGGGCCACCGCTCGGCTCCGAGATGATGTGATGTCCGGAGCGTCGTCACATTTTGCGATCCACAACACCCAGCTAGGGTTGCATCAGTCACATGCCTCCTCGGTATAACAGTCAAGCCCACGCTTTTCGTAGTCTACACCTTGAATGAGGCCTGGAATGCCATCAATTGCTCTTGCACTCGGCAGGTCGACAGAGACCTCCGAGGGCTGTGGCCGGCAACAGCTGCCGGCCTCACTACCTCTCTGTAGGACAAAATGTATCCGGCGCAAAACCAATGTTTCCCCCCCAACGCCCAGCCGTGAGCTGTGTACCAATTGGAATCTGTTTTTGTTTGTTCTTAAAACTCCCAGTTCCCCCAGTGTCTTGTTTTGTCTCTGTCCCTAGGTATGATGATGAAGAAGCAGAATAAGAAAAAGGAAAAGAAGTGAGGTATGTGGATACTGGTTCTTTCTCCAAAAATCGTGCCATCATGAAAGAAGAAGAAACTTGCAAATGGGAAGCACCAGAAATGAAAACGACAAGTGGTAAAAGTATCGCCTGCGCTCTGGATCTGGAATTTTGAATCTTGCTGCTGCAATGCTTGGAAAGGAAAAGCCCCGCCTCCAATGCCGTCGCTTGGATGAAGTCAATGGACGTGTAGAAATGAAGTCGTCAAACGTACAAAAGGCCGTGTCGAAATCTGAAGTGAAATAGTTCAATGTAACAGGAATGGGTGCAAGGTGTGCTGTTTGAAATCGAGCGAGTTACGGACAGCCGTTTCTCTCGCGCGCAAATAAAAGTCGCCGTGATAAGCGAGTGTTTTCTGACGCCAAAAAATAGAAAAGCAATGCCTCGGGTTCACCGTGGTGAAGCTGCTGCGCTCCGTGATGCATTAAAGTGACATGGATAAGCAGTCTGGCGCGCTAGATGCCCCGCTGGAAAGATGGCCGTTGATCGGGCCTAGAAAGCGTCGGTTCGGATAAGGCGGCACTCGTTTAGAGGATGACACATCGGTGGCCATCTGCGCGCCTCCGTCTGCGATTCTTCCGCTTGGCGAAGCCCATGATGCCGGCATTTTTCTCGTTCTCGTGGTCGTCCTCGTCGTGGATGGCCTGAGCCTGGATCTTCTCGTCTTTCAGGAGCAGCTGGCGACATATGTCGATGAAGACGGCGTCAACGTTTGCTGGGAAATGGTCAGCAGTCTTCCAGTCGACACATTGTGGGACAGTGACGTACTCCTTGTTCTAGCACTCGTCTCATAGTATGGGGCATCCCACATTTGAGAGCAGGCAAAAGCTCTTTGTCTGGGTACTGATCGCTGCTCCTCCAAGTCGGCCTTATTGCCGACAATGACAATAGGGACGTTGTCGTCGTCTTTGATGCGCGTGATTTCCTCTCGAAGCATCTCAATCTCATTCATCGACGAGGATGATGTGATGCTGAAGACCAAGATGAATCCTTGACCGGATTTCATGTACAAGTCTCTCATGGCCACTGCTCTCATGTTAGATTAGACATATAGTAAGATGGAAGACTGGCTCACCAAACTGTTCTGTTCCTGCAGTGTCAAGGCTGCGGGCATTGTCAGATGCTGCTGTCTCATGACGCATAGTGCTACTCACATTTCCAAGACAACCTGCCGTCCCTGCGTTTGACCGAGTCAGTGATTCGTTGAGCCTAAAATGACATGGCGACTCACATCAACCTGGAGCTGTGTCCGGTAGGTGTCCTCAATGGTAGGATCATAGCTCTCAATCCACTCATTGTGGACGAATTGGGCTGCGAGGAATTGTCAGCATCAAACTCTGACCAGGAATGCCAGCTGAAGTGTGGATGCTCACCTGTTAAACAACTCTTGCCAACACCTCCTTCAAAAAGGGTCAGAGAGGAGCACGTGACGAATGTTTTCTTGGCATAAACTTACCGGCGCCCAAAACAACGACATGAAGCTCGCGACTGGATGGGATGATTAGTTTGCATTCCCTACGAGAGGAGAGCTCGAAAGGGATCAATCACATACCATGATTGATAGTGTCTATTGTGGCGTGACATGTTTGCTGGTTGAGACTGCTTTTTTGCAGCGGTGCGGGTTGGGTAAGTCTATTTGTGGTAGAAGTGCGTTCGATCAAACAGTCGAGGTTTGGGCAAGTGAGTGAAGTCGCCGGTTGGTGATGCTTTTACAGCAGGTCGGCCTCGGTTGAGAAAGGACCGCCGGGCTGGTATCCTTCGCAAAATGGCAATTGGCGCGTCATGCGGCAAGGCGGTCGCAAAGGTTAAATAGATTGGCGGGGAAAAGTTGCAAGAGCGAGAGGCTGGCGGAGTATTGATGAGGTCCGAAAGGGAAGCCGGTGACGAATTGGCGGCAGCGAGTGGAAATGCCGTGCAAATCTCTCTAAATCGGGGGAGAGCGATTTACGATTTGCAGACCACAGCAGCGGGCAGCAGTAGGAGATGCAACAAGGTACCCGAAGTGGACGAGGGAGGATGGCGGGGGGGCCCGAATGCAATTGTAGTTGAAGCGCAGAGGGTCGAGGTTTGAAGGACGGGGGCTCGGGTCAGGGAGTTCTGGGTCTGGCCCGTCCGAATTGATTGGAAGAGTGGGGAACGAAGGAGGGGGGTGTTAGCCTGGGATATGGGTAGGGGGGGTTGACGGGGAACGGGGGACGAGCAAAATGCAGATGCAAATGCAGATGCACGGGGGGGATAAGAACAGGTGCAAGGTGCAAGGTGCAGCGCAGCAGCAAGCTGGGTGGAAGCCAAAAAAGAATAATGGAAGATGGGGGCGGCAAAGCAGCAGCAACACCAGCAACACTACCACCACCGTATCTAGGTAGGTAGGCAGGCAGGCAAGCAGCTCAGGATGGTGAGTAGCGTGAAGAGAGAGGAAAAGACGGAAGAGGAGGAGGAAGAGACCGAGGGTCAAGATGAGGAAGACAGGAGGCAGAAAAGAGAGATGGAATCCAAGTTCGCGGCAAGGCTCTCTCTCTCTCTTTTTCTGTGCCCACCTCAATAGAAGTTGGCTAAGGCAGCGCGCGGTAGGTCCGTTGGTACAGTGCAGCAGGAAGAGGCGAGTTTGGCTTGTCCACCCGTCCGTCGTCTGGTCTGCAAGGGCCTCTCGTAAGGTAGGTAGGTACCTGAAGGAGGTACCAGGTAGGCAGGGGACGCTAGGTCAATGTCGGGGTCGAGTGGATAGGCGAGGCGAGGTGCCCTGTGGTGAGTGAGGGTGAGCTGTTGAAGTTGAGACGTTGATGGCGGTAGCCAGAGTGCCTGGCGGTAGCAGGTAGAGGTTAATGTAGCGGCTGCCCGGTGAGGTTACCGCAGGTGAGAGACTTTGCCGCAGCAGGTTGCCTTGGATGTGGTGCGTGCCGCTGCTGGGCGGGCTGTCAGCTCAAGCATGAGGTGGAAAGGTACCTAAGTTAAGGCACCTACCTTGCGGGCCTGAACGGGTACGTACTGGGTCTGCCCCAGGTCGTGGTCCAAGTACACTACACTACTACTGTGTAGGTAGGTATCTATCTGTAAGGTGACGGGAGGCGGAGGGGCGTGTGAGAGAGGCAAAATATTCGCCGACCAGGCTGAACGGTCAGGATAATGCAAAAGATAAACCCAGCTGAAGGAAGGATTTGGGAGGGTGGGGGCGTCACGAGCAGAAGTCACGTAGCAGAAGCAGGGAGGTCAGTGATTGTCAAATGCAGTCGTCACTTCTGTCTTGCTGTAAGGTAATCGGACCTGGTTGCGCTTTTTCTTCTTGTGCTTGCAGTGCTGCAGTGCGGTGCAGTGTCGCCAATGGGGTCGTCAAAGACGATGGTGTGTCCATGTAAGTAACTGGTGATCCCGGAGAAAGCCAGCAAGTGATGCGTTGGTTGGTTGGCTGGTACTGTGGCTGTCGTCCTGGAGGCCCGGGACAAGACAGGACGATTGAGGTTGATCTGATCCGATACCTTACTTGAGGTCAGCTAAGGTTATTTCCGCTTGCCGGCTGCCGGGCTCGACTGCATTGGCTGACCGAAATAGACACTGTAGGAAAAAGCAAAAGCAACAGATAGCAGGCCAGGCAGAGGGGGGAGGAGGAAGAGAGAAAGTAAAGGTAAAACGATCAAGTGATGAAGTCAGCAGCAACACGGAGAAGAAAGAAAGCTCAATGCTAATGCCGGAGCGCTAGGATTCAGGCTCTGGACAGGCAAGGCGAGCCGGAGGGATGAAGCAAAAGGCATCGAGTTGATTGATGGCAGAGCATGTGTTGATGGTTGCACGCATTACAAGACACAGCCGCCAGGTGACATACCGCAACAAGGGCCAAGGCAAGGAATGGCTGTTCTATTTGGTGGAAGGAGCCCAAAGAACAAACGACTCGTCAGGGCTGAGAGGCGAGAGGCGAGAGGCGACGTGTGGCGGCAACAGATGGCGAGGGGCGGGTGCGGGTGCGGTGCGATGCACGCGATATACGCAGTCTCTATGTAGGTACGCGTAGGTGACGGGATGGGATGCGATGTGATGCGATGTGGGTGATGTGACTGGCGGGCGACGACGGGTGACAGGCCGAGGGATTGGACGAAGAGACGAGAAGAGAAAATGCTTATTGCTGACGACGGACGAGATGGAGACGAGACTACGCAGTACGCAGTACGCAGTACATGAGACGAGGAAGCGACGGCGGGAGGGGCATGTAAGAATCCCCGGGCGGTCCACGGTCCACGGTCCACGGATGCCTGGTCCGTACCTTGCCCGATGGATACAGATGCGCTCTACAGAGTACTGCGTAAGGTATCCGTTCCTCACAAAGCAAACCCAAGGCACAGTGTCCGCCGGAGAAGGCGGATGATGAGACGATGCGATGAGAGAATCATCAGAAGCAGGAGGCGACCAGGAGTGGAAAGGTGTCTCGCAGCTTGGATGCTGGACTGTCTCGAAATAACGGAGAGGCTGACGCTACTGTCGGACGCTTGCGCGGTAGGTCCAACGTCGTCAATGGCCCCAAGCTATTTGGGGCAGCGGGCTTTGTCGTGTGCACAAAGGAACAACGTGAGATTTGGGGATTGGCGGTTTGGCGGTTTGCGAAGACGGCGGCGGTGTTTGAGAGTGAGGTGGTTCCCCGTTTCTGCCGTTGCATGGTGCGCCTAGGTAGGTACCATAAGGTAGGTATGGTGAGGTGGTGATGTGGTCCCGTCGTTGGTGCGTGGTGTCGATGTTGATCCGGGGGTCCATCTCCAAGCTTCTTTCCTTCCTTCTTTCCCAAAATGGCATGCTGCCCTCGCTATATGTCCGATAGTTGAGCCAAGATGCAGTGATATCTCCCCGATGGACAGGTTGGGTTCCAATTGGCTAGTTAAGGTGGCCTAGTGCGTGTGCAGTAATACCCTGGCATCTCGTCACTGGCGAGTGTCGTTCGACCGGGCGAGTCTCATGCCGCTTAGACGGGGTTTTGGTGTCCTTGGGGCAGGTCCAGCGGATGAGGTGCTCTGCACTCCGGCCTGGGCGGTCCCGTCTCTTTCGGCCGCGACGGTCAATGGGCAGAGAAGGCAAGCCGCAAGCACCGCTGGATGAGCCTGAGGTAGAATCAATGGATGCCCTGAGGACGGGAGAGGAGAGGAGAGGAGTTGTCGAACGGCGCGTCTTCTCCTCTTCCAGCGAGTCAGGCTGCCGTCTACCCAGAGACCCAGAAAGCTGCGACGCACGAGCACCGCTCCTGCATGGCCGGTGGACCAGCTCCAGCGGTGCTCAACCGTCCCATGTGGTAAGGTGCCTCCGGCCAAGGGGATGGTGGGCTCACGAGTGAGTTGGTTGACCTCTCATGTGTTGGGGTGGTCGCTCTCGAGCCTTTTGACAGGAGAGAAAGTGGAGTTCAGGTCGCAGTGGATGCCGACGAGTTGTGTTTTAGCGCGCTCCTGGTGTTTCTGTTTCTCAGTCTTTCCTGTCTTTTTTTTTTTTTAATGGCTCCGCGTGTGGCAGCTGCAGGTGCAAGTGCAGGTGCAGGGCAGAATGGACAGGGCAGGAGAGAAAGGACAGGGCAGGAGCGGCGATGGGACGGTGGACAGTGGACCCCAACGACTGCCTCACCTCGTGGTTCGTCCCGGTGGCTTCCAGCCATTGAAAGCCCTTGCCGCGGCAGGCCACGCTGCCCCCCAGTCTTCCAGTTCTTTTCCATGCCGTCCCATCGGCCATTTTCCTCTCGTGCAACCTACCTAAGGTACCCAAGCTACACTTTCGTCCGTAAGGTAAGAGGTAGAGACCAAAGCCGTGTATTCCGTTGCAAGCTATTTCCCGGCGAAGATACTCGAGGTCGATGCAGAGTGCGTCTGCCCTGCGTCATTCACCAAGTGGGGAGCTCCCTCCTTCCTGCAATCAACGCCTCCCGTCAAATCGTGCCTTCCCTAGGTAGGTACCTAGGCGATTGATTACATTACGGATCCATATACCTTCACCTTCCATAGACACATTCGCTCCTTCTTCAGTCTCTGACTTGACACTCGGCCGAGGACACAGCATCCCGGCTGCTCTTTCCCACTAGCCCTTGAATCTTACCTAAGGCAAGGTAGCTATCGGCACATGGCAGGGAAAGTCTCCACTCCACGACACTCCTCTCCACCTTCTTCCTGTCCGCTGCCCACATCACCTACGCACTCGGGGTAGTCCAACCACTGGCAAGAGCATGACTGACTCCCTCTGAATGCAGCTTCCAGCATCTCCGTATCAGAGTTTCCATCCTGCGTCTACCAAACATTTTAGCTCGCATTTTCTCCTGCTTCCTGCATCCCTTTCCCAGGGACTAAATGCACAGCCGCACTCCAGCCAATGCACCTTGGATGCAGATGCAGGGCCAATGCACAGGGAATCGGCCATGCACTCGTACCTTACCTAAGGCCTTGCTACCTGTTCCTCCTTCTCCTCCTTCTCCGTCTCCGTCTCCTCCACCACCGCCTCGCAGCCGACAATGCAACAACTCGCGCTCCTTTCTACCCCGAGCTCTGAACCTTGAGGTACCTATCTACCTTACCTGAGGTAGCTAGGTAAGGATGGAAGCCACCGACAGCAGACGGGACTGAACAAGGTGCTGCAGCTATTCCATCCTGCGAGTCTGCGAGATGCCCTCTCGCTTCTGATCCACATGCACTACCGTATCCCAACACAGCCTGTCCATGCCAGCCCGGGGCATGCTTCCATGCACTTCATCGACCAAAGTCACCTTGGACACTGCCGAACACACACGCGCTCTATGAGGGGTTAAACTGGCACCCGACTCTTCAACTTCATCGACATTTCCCGATCCGGTCACAACCTTCAACAGGAACCACCCAAGAATCGACCGCGACCCGTCTCCCACTTCCTGGACCCCAGTCCCTCAGACGTTGTCAACCACTTCATGACTTGCCAAGAGGTCCACCCCTATCAACCACAAATCCTTCATCTACACTCAATCAATTGTCAGAATCATCACCGCGGATACCCGTATATCCACGGATAACCCGCAACCGAACCAAATTTGTCGCGGACACTCGGAGCCGAAGACTAAGACACGTACGTCACTGTCCGCCTGTTACTTTCAACCTCTACCAAGTAGGCAGCTTGCAAAGACTCGCAAATTTCCGGATAGACGAGGGTCAGCCGCCTCCCGCCTTATCCCCGGTGAGCAATCGGCCAGTCCAGAGCAAACCAACAAGCCAAGACTTTGAACTCGCCGTTAATTCGCCAATCGCAACTCGTCATTTTCTGCCTCCAACCCGCGCTCGTCATGAAAATTTTCTCTCCTTCCCAAATAGCCTGATATCAACATCTCAACAACAGGCTCCCTTGCGCCTTACACCTGTGAACCGACTGGTGGGATTCCGGGGTCCCCAGAATGCTAGCCGCAGATGCGACTGCAGTCTTCTCGCTTCTCGCAGAGTCCACTCCCTTCAACTTTCTGTCACATCACTACGGCCCGATACCGAGGCCATGACGACTGCGATACTCCATTCCTCGGCCTGGGCGTCCTTTCTAGGCAAGATCCTAACTTCAACCCTCCTTTCACCATCACCATGACGTTGCAAGTCCATGGCTTGTCCAGGAACCCAGGCCGGATTCTGGCCCCCAACTCGGTATGAGCTCCTGTCTGTGCTGCTGGATGACATTGTTCTCCATGCTTTTGGATTACTGAGATGAGGTGGTTTCGTTTACTCCCCATCACCCGCATATCGACCCCGTTGCCAACCAAACAAGACATCTCGATTCTGAGATTGCTGTTCCTTGACCCGCTCTCCATGTCCGGCCTGCGGGCTTTACCCTCGAAGGAACAACTTCTGCTTGAACCGAGGAACCGGTCTACCGGGTTGCAGACTTGGCAAACGGCGTCTAGACCCCGGGCCATTCAAGTGCCAGCGACGGCCTGTCAACGTTCCTCCACCTGGAGCCCTAGTCCGTCTCTGATGCCTCGGTCGTTGCAGCGGCAGAGATTTTCGACAGCGGTTCGCCCCTGGTTCGTTCGATATGATCTCCATCGACATGGCTGATGTCGTTTATTCTCGAACAGCCATGTGGAAACTGACACCATACTCGCCAAAGAGCCGAGATGTCTACTGCGAGACAGGCGCCCAGGCCAATTCTCCGCCATCTCACCTTCCCACGTGGCGGAGATGAGACGGACTGAACCATTAGCACCACAGAGTTTCAGGCAGGAAGTCTAAATCCTCTAACCACCCTGACCAAGTCAATGCGCCAATTCGTCGTCGATCCCCTAAATGCTCGGCCCCCAATACTCGGTCCCAAAATCCGGGTCACCTCATTTCGACTATTGATGACTTCTGCTTCATCGTAGCAAACATCTGTCGATGCAATTTTCAACCGTCCATTCTTCTACGAACAGCTGTCATTGTCGTCCTTGGTCGAAACTCCCGTTCTACCATTCTGCCGCGGTCAAATTTTGCCAACGCAATTGCCGCAAGTGCCACCCAATATCGAGTCTTTCGATGTTTATGCCGTCGACGTTGTCCTTTGAGCCAAACCTGGTGTAGCCTGCGCCGCATTGCCATGGGTTTCCCAGTGCTTCCATGCGGAGGATCTGCAATCGCACGAGCTAGTCTCTAGTTCATCTCGCAATCCCCAGTGGTCAATATCGACCTTGCGCTAAACTGTGCAGACTTATCCTCAGGCTCTGTGCACGCATCACAGGCCTTCGCCTTGCCTGCGTACCTGAGGACAGCCAACAAACTGATCTGCCTTGGAGAGAACGCACTGGCCCGTGCTGCTATATTGAGCACTCCAAAGTCTGAGCTCGATGTTCCTTTCGCGCGAAGGTCGGGCCCGAGTCGCCCGGAATCATCAGGGACCAGAGTTCCCGAAGCGCGCGGTCAAGTTGATACCCGAAAGCGATTGAGCCTGCTACCGCCACTCAAGAAACTGCCGGGTCGGCCGCGTGGTCTCGTTGAGTGATCCCATTGCGCCGCGCCTTGCAATCCAGGACTGGATTGAAAGACGCCTTCCCATGAGGCACGGGTTTCTGCGTATCACCATGGTTCCGGACTCATCCTCCAAGTCGCTTGTCATTGCCTGACTATTGGATAATCATTCCGGGGAGGCAGGCTGCCGCTTGTCGTGTACCACGACGTACGCCACGTGCTTCGTAATGACGAGCCAGTGTGTCTCCGCTGCCACCGCCGTTCCAGGAGTACCCGACCGAACCGGACGTCTACGAGCGGGATGCGGCTCAAGGCTGGGGCTGTGCCGATCTCGTACTAGAGATCCACAGGTCACATGGCATGTTCTTCAACTCCATGGCTGGCTGAGTACGGATAGAGCCAAGATCTTCAGGCAGGTGATGGGATCATCCGCATATCGACTGCCACATACCGGACTCGACTCCGCCCCGGCCACCGTGTGAGCTCAAAGGCGGCGTAGATACGAGGCTGGCACAATCACAGCATCGGGACAAGATGCCGTACGTAGGCTCTGACAACGACCAGCCGTCTCACCCTTGTCCGCGTCCCTGTCAACCTGCCATTCGTTTGGGAGACTGCTTGATACCGCCGAGTGCCCCCACGCTGGCATCACCGGACGAGATAACGGCCACAGGCAGCGAGAGAACATCTCGCCCGACACAGGGCAACCGAGGGAGACACAACCTTGGTTTTAGAGTTGAATCGCAACCGACCTTCTCTTAACGTGATGTGAGCCCGAGATTGATTGGTCTCTCATCTCGCCGACCCACCGCGCCGGAATGCACCCCACCACGTCGCGCCCACCACCCAATCCTCGCTCGACGACAACTTCCGGCCTCGTCGCCGACCCTAACATACGCACATTTCGCAATTGCTTTCAACAATTCAAATGGTTTCGTGGTGTAGTTGGTTATCACGTCAGTCTAACACACTGAAGGTCTCCGGTTCAAGTCCGGGCGAAATCATATTGGGCGAATGGTTTAGTGGTATAATACTCGCTTAGCATCAGACAGTTGAACTGTCTAACTTGTGAGTGGTCCAGGGTTCGATTCCCTGTTCGTCCAGTCTTTTGCTGGTTAGCTCTGTTTTTAGGGGCTAGTATTGCTTTTGAGGGTTCCTGGGAACTTTCCAGAGCTTTAGGGTGTGGTTTTAATAATATTCGTGTGGACTGACGGGGTAATAGAGCTACAGCGGCATGTGAGGACGACTGTTAAGTTTCTATGTTAGATAGGCGTGTGACATACTGATATAAAAGAGGGACAACGTGTCTAAGACGTAGATCGTCTTGCTTCCTGCTTAAATTTCTTACGTGACTTGAGGTACTGGGGAAGTGGCTACTAAGTTTGAAAGGTTGGTCACCCTTCCCTACTTTTTCCTCTCTTTGAAGCTAGACATTGGGGAGCGGCGTTTGTTTCACGCATGAATGCTGTGTTGTGCTCCGTCGAGATACGCAAGCCCCAGCAGAAAAAGCTATCAAGATGTGGCGGTCTGCAGGAGTCAAGAGCCAAGCAAGCAAGACCTGGCAGAGGAGCATGCTTGCAGTGGCCTTGAGAATTCAGGTTCGGCGCTTTGGGTCATGGGTCCCCTGGGCCTTTTGGCAACGGTGTAATGGTAAATATCGGAGGGCACCAGGACTTCAAGATTCTCTATCTCAAGAGCCGAAGTATGTTTGAGATACTACGACTACTTGACCATATCGGTTTCAAAAGACAGACAGGATCCCGCCAATTCCATCGCAGCGAATTCTCCTTGAGTGCCAACGACCGTGAGATCATCTTGAATCTATAGGTGTTTGACGCTTCTCAGCAAGTACCCCCAAGTCTTAACGTCCAATGATGTTCTTCCCATCCACCGCCTTCATTCCTTCATCGACCATTTGACGGAGCTCCACGATGTCGACATATGATTTCTCGGCGATGCTTTGAGAGCGGCGGGTGATTCCATGCTTGGCTTCCAGATGTTGCACGACTTCTGTCACTTCATTGGAGACTTCGTGGGACCGAGGCCCATCCTTGTCGCGCAGACGGTAGCTCCTCGAAACCCAGAACATGAGGACATCGCGGTACTGGGCGAGGCAGCTGTCGGAGATAGCAGCGTCGTAAATACCGGGGGGGCACACCAAAGCGCACGACGAATCCCATGAAATACTTCAGGTTGCGCGAGAGGGGCTTTCATTTGGAGCGACCTGAGTCGCCCGCCTTGGGAGGAGGGAAGCATGCCTCCTCAAGCTGGTCGTCGGTGACATCGTCTGTAAGCCTCTCGAGGTTTTTGATGAAGTCCTGAAAGTGCGCCAGATTGGCGTCCTGTCGCTGCTGAGTTTCTTGCGAATGCCAGCGAATGCCAGCGAATGCCAGCAGCTTCTTCCGACTCTCTCTCAATCTCCGCCATCATCTTGGAGAAGCCGTCAACATCGTCCCCAGCATCAGGGTCGACACGTCGCAATCTGTCCAGCCATTTGTCGGTAGTCTCGCCGCGCTGGCGGAATTCGCTGGGCCGCTCAGTCATGATGGGAGGATCCTGCGCCTGTTGTTAGTTGAAACTTCATGCAATGGCCGTATGGTGAACGAACCTACGAGGACGAAATCGACAGATAAGCAGGGCGAGGAGTGTGGTCTGGAGAGGGTGTTGGTATCAGCCAGACGTGGATTTGATGGGGGAGAAAGAGGACCCTGGTTGAGAATTAGCCAGATAGGCAAGGGCAAACGAGAAGAAAGACCGTTAGGTGGAAATTCTCGTCCCAGTGGTCGTGGTCGTTTGTTGTTCGGAGCTCGCTCTGGTTATTTGGTCAAAGCTGGTGCTAAAGTGACGGCTTCTGGGTTGCCTTTGGCACTTCATGAGGCCAACAACAACCGGGTAGCAGCTGCCTGGTCAAGCTAGGTGGATGCGTGAAGGAAAAGCAGCCGCATACACAGAATCAGGTTCAAATACCGCTGCAGGTCTGCAGATTCAAGACCACCTGGGAGTGTTTGAGGAACTATCTAGTAGCGTTGGTCGTTGGTCCATCGCCGCAGACACTCGTAATGTAATGAGCTTTGGGTCCTGCGTATTGGCACCTACAGCACCTACATATCCGTTGGCACCAGAGGAGTCATTTCTATTGTTGAGATATCAGCCTGACGGCAGCTAGACCGCTTGGAGCTGTATCGAGCCGCAACACAAAGTTCCCGAGGTCCTCAACGCCAGCTACATAATCGCTGTAATAGATAGACAGTGGCTGCCACCATCAACGCCAGGAAGATGTTTCAGTGGGCTCGCCATCTTACAAACAGAGGACTCTAAAGCCATATCTTGGGGCTGTTTTCATGGTCTGATTTCCGAGCTGAGCTACTCGAGACGTCGGCTCTTTCCCTGTGAGAAGTGTAGACCGTCCACGTAAGAGCAAAAACCTACTTACTGAAACTCGTCTCGCCGGCCTGAGTACAGCTCCCAAGAATTCGGTGCCCTTCTCATTAAGTTGTAAAAGAGAACCTTGAGCTTACAACACAAGAATCCGAGCGGTCTGCGTTTCCATACTCGGTGACCATCTCACCACCAACCTCGGCATCCTTCACAGTTCCCCAAGCTCTGTGAATTATTCATAAGTGTATCGTATGAGCCAAATCGACCATCTTCTGCAGATCTCTTTCTGCCGAAAACTCGGGTCTGATCGTAGAACAATGCGAGTGCGCCACTAACACAGCGTGTTCATACTTGGCTGGAGTATGCCAAAGTCTATGATTTTCCCTTGTCTCTTCATAGCCCAAGTGATATTAATTTATATTATATATGCACTACATCAGAATATCTGAAAGACAATGTTCTTAGTCTCGGCTACCTCCGGGAAATCCTGCCGGAAGTCTGTCAGACCATGCCTGTCATTGGAACATCGTATATACGTGCATGTATTTAAATGACGTAGGCTTCATAGGGTTTCGCTCGTCACGAATAAAAAACTCATCCAGAGCGCTGTAAAGTGACTTTAAAAGCCTGTCATAGCAGAGTATGGGGCCTAAAGTCTTTCATACGCGTCTCTTGGAAACCGGGTCTAGAACAACTTGCATACGCGCTGGCGTCCACCACCTCTTCATATGTATTCGGATTTTTGCATCCATAAGAATGCTGGAATGTATTGGGTTTTCCATGCCAGAGATTCCATCCCCCATCGCATCGCTTCTGCTGGTCACACTCTCTTCAAAAGACATTGCAATGACCATTTGCGGTGAAGAGTACAAATTGCCGGTTCTGTCTAGAAGACATTGAAGTTCTATCATCTGCGTCTATTTGACGTCCCCAAACAAACAGATGCAATAATACTGACGCTTGCATGAAGCCCGATGCTTCACGCTGACGCTACGTTCTGCAAAAGTATAGACATCACCTCAAGTGTTACCTGATGCCTGATGGGTCATCAAGGAACTTATACCAAACATCAAGACTGTCTCAATATCTCTCCCCAGGGTTAATTAACCTCCTCTTTCTTCCCTCTACGACCCTTCATCTCCCAGATCGCATACCCCACATCCACGGACGAAGCATCAACATCAATGAGCTGGCGACTAGCATGCCACCTCTGCCAGACATGTAAATCCCTCCAGGAAACATCGGGACGGATGGATGATCGCAGAGCAAAATAATGTACGGCTCCCTGCTTATATATATGTTCGGAACATGCGAAGGCTTCTCGTCATTCCGATGATCTGAAAATGCCCAACGCTGAAAAGTATATAACACACTTATGATGATCATTTCTGAATTCAACAAATTAGCGAGACTATATCAATCTTGTCTCCCTCTTTGGTTTTATCACGCGTCAGTACATGAAAGGCATGTCGATCTTCAGAACCAGGGGTCAGTAGGCTCGATGTGAATATCAGCTCGGAGGCAAACCTTTGGAATAGACAACGGACAACATGAGCGGATGACAATAACGTGTTGACGATCAAAGGGGTTGGGGAACCAAAGGTTTAATTTAGCTTGACCCCGTCGAGTGTTCTGTTGCTATCATCGATACTCTGGAATCTTTCGGCGGCGGCAAAATTAGCGGCGATCCTGGCTCAAGAGAACGAGACACTCTGGGATAGTTAGACTTATGTGCAGATACAGCGAGGCCATGAGCCTGAGGCGTATACTTTGCGAAGCTCATGTCTATAACACTGCTGCTTGCTGCAGTTGTATTCACTCGACCGCAAAAATGGCGGTGGTACTGCTGCTGCACATTGCCTTACTTCGGTCACTCGTCGGCGTCCCTCAGACTCGGGTAAGAAACTCAATACAGCAAGCTGCCTTCGAAGATGAATCATGCCTTTCGCCTGTATCGTCGTCTCCAATGACCTCAGCATTATCCGGGTGTACTGATGCCCTGAGGTTCCTACATCAGAGCTAGTATGCTGCTGCCAAGTAACTATGTCCCAATTTACAGGTCTGAGAATCACCTGCCGTCTCTATCATGTGCCATAGGGCTTGCTCGGAGCAAAAGTATGAGATGTCCCGGTGATCTTAACTTGAGCATAGCCCAATCCGCCTAAGAATTTAAGGGCCTCGAAATATTTCTCAATCACTCGACACCTCTTCTTGTTACTCCACCGGTAGCTTCGTCACCTCTCCCAACATATCCCTCCGCGCATACTCACGACTTTTCTCAGAAAGCTCTAGCATAGCCATTAAGCTGGGTGCAGACATGGCACAGTTTAGAGCAACACAAGCTGGAAGTCCATTTTCCTCTCCATTTTGAACAAAAGAGATCGACGCTAATGCCATTGCTTAAGAAAACACCGTGTAGAACAGGGCAGCTTAAATCAAGTCGCAAAGGATACTTGACACTTGGCGACACACACATCTGTACAAGACTATATAAACCAAACACCCACGCACCCCTCACTCATACTCCAAGCAAATGTCGGGATTCACAAGCTTTTAACCCGGCAAGCACTTGTCACTCGACAAGTTTGCATTGAAGAGCTTGATAGATTGAACCTCGACACTTTCAACCCTCTCAGGCCATAGTTGCTTGTCCATCAGTACCTTCTCTATTCATTGCCTTGAATCTATACGTGTAGTAATACCCCCTGTTCTCACGGTCCTGCCCGATACTTTATCTGACAAACACTTCCCAGCCGATCGGGGCAAGCGGATGATTCCCTACATGAGCCATACTACACCAGGAACATCGATATTCTGGACCTCTCAGTGAGACCAAGATCCTCTGGCCTGATTTGGTGTCGAACGCAGTTTTCGCTAAACCTATATCTATTTATACATCTCGAAGCTTTAAGAACACCAACCCCATGAAGGTCGACGTGAACACGACACGAATGTAGGTTGAGAACCTTCAGTTCTTTTCCGACTCATGGGTTGGTCCCTCACGCCGTGACAGCGCGGATAGTCTTCGTGCAAACCAAGATGCTGACTGAACCGCAAGGATCAAAAAGCTTGACCTTATTTCCCGTCAGCCGAATCGATCGACCACCACAGATCTCTCGCGTATCAGATCTCACAATGCAACATCTCATCTTGCTCAAAATGGTAATATTGCCATGTTCATCTTCTTGTAGACATTACTAAACCACTCGCGTGCCTCGACACGGTTGGACGCAGCGAGCTTGCACAAAAGACTTTCTCACTGTCCCACAGTCAGCAACAACCTCCCTTCCCCTCTCACCTCCTCGTCAAGATCCCAAAACAATCCCTCACCCAACCAACCCACCCCTTGGCCATCTCAATCGTGTTCATAAGCCTAACCCACCTCCAAACAAAAGCCTCACAATCCTTGTAATCCTCCGCATAAACATCCCATGCCGCGACCTCATCCTCAACCCCGTTTTCCTCATCCTTAATCTTCGGCCCTACAAGCAGAGCCCTCCCGATGACCCCCTCGTCCGCGACAAGCCTCGTGGCAGCATCGACCACGTCCCCGAACCGGGCGCCGCCTGCACCGCCGCCGAGCAGCGCGGCCTCACCGGCGCGAGGAAACATGTTGCTGTCGCTGATGAAGTACGGGCAGAGCATGTTCAGCCGCACGCCGTGCGACATGTACGCCGTTGCGCGCATGGCGCGGAAGAGTCCCGTCACCGCGTGCTTTGACATGCAGTACGGCGTCTGACCGGGGAGGTGGACGACGCCGGCGATGGAGCCGATGAGCAGGACACACCGGTCCTTCGGCTTGGACGAGTCGTTTGCGCGCTTCCCGTTGCGGGGAAGCCAGAACATGCCGAGGTTCGTCGTGTAGCTTACCCCTGTGACGTTGACGGCGATGGTCTTGGTGGATGGCTCGCTGGGGGCGTCGGGGTCCGACTTGGAGGCGACGGGCTTGTCAAAGGTGCTGTTATGGCCGACGTGGTTGACGCCTGCGTTGGCGACGACAATGTCGATGGCGCCGTTTGGAGAGAGGCGCGCGGCTTCCTTGAAGAAGTTCACTTGCGATTCCCAGGAGGTAACGTCACAGTTGACGAAGTGGTGAGAGGCATTGGGGTGACTCGTACGGAGTGAGGCAATCAGGGCCTCGCCATCCGAGGCATTGATATCCCCGA